AATGATAGCTAGTGCTAAGTAAACATTATTGTTAAAGAGGGATCTAGAATTTCTATCCATTTTTCTTGTGGGATACCTTGTAAAGTAGGGAAATAGTCAATTACTTGTTCTTCTAATTTCCTCTTCCATAAAATCAACTTCTTCTGAAAACTAGTTATTTTATTAAACAATTGCAGGACATGAGTATTGTTACCTTGCAAAGACTTATTAAGATCATTTAATTTGATAAATATGTCACAGAGATATGCCAATTTCATTATAAACTCTGTGTTAATAAATTTTTGGACATCATTATGTGACTCTATCTGTAGCTATTTGTAAATTTCGTTCCTTAATTCGTATACACGTATGAGTACATTACTTTTGGATAACCAATGAGAGTTGCAATAATAAATTAAAGAAGTATGTTCGGCATCCAATTCCTCATAAAGTTATCGGAAAAGTCTTAATTTAACGGGTCGTGTTGTAATGTAGTTCACTACTGTAATAATGCTATCCATCAAAACACTTAACTCAGGCGTAATGTTCTTTGCTGCTAAGCCTCCCCATGTATGACACATGTGTCCATTTTATATTTTGAGCTTTGGCTTTGTTTAGAGCTTGTAGTCTTCCATACTGTCCAGACATTGCTCTGGCACCATCCGTACACACGCCCACACAGTTTTCCCAGTTAATATTGTTTTCAGTCATATATATGTAAATCTAAAATTTTAAACAAAAAAGAATCTTTACCGCTTTCACATAATTTTCTGCAAAATAATAAATCGTCACATATGTACATTTGTTTCTTGTATGTACCGTACGTAAAATATCAATTGAGCATCATCATTTCTAGCAGTTGCCTCATCTAATTGAATGGCAAATAAACTGGAAAGTTTTGCCACAATTTTCTTATTAATATCTTCTGCCATATCGTGAATATTTTATATCGTTCATATTTTATTATCGTATTATTAGAAAGAGGTATATTTTTTATTTCTTTAGCTGCCGATTCTCTAATCATCACCGATACCATATCAACCGTTGCGGGTAAGATGAGTTCCTTACTAATGGTGTGTGGTTTCTTACATTTGGCAATACGGTGAGCTACCCATGTAAGAGCGAGCAATGCTTTATTTATTTATTTACGGTTCACAAAACAGATTATAACTAAAGATACAATTAATTGATAAGTAAACATTATAAATAAGTTGAGTTATAACGCAACAACTATGTGAACACAGATTATAGACTAAATATTTCACTTATAAAATCAAAACTACATCAGCACTTAAAAATACATTGTATACATATAAGAAAAGACATTTATAATTAAATAGAAAGAATATTTTACACAAAAATATGAACAAGTTACAGCAATAAAAAATGAAATTAAAAATAAAATGAAATTATAAACTGGTGAAGTGAGGAACTAAATAATGGATAAGAAAATAGATTTAATCACTATTATTGGCTGTTAATTGAAACCAATTGTTTTTTAAATAGATTTAGGTTATTGTTGAAAATGTCAATACTAAGTATCAATCGCGTCTTTTTCAAGAAAAACCTTATTATATGCGCGACACATACGTGCGATAGGATTATGATATGATATGTTGTTATTGTAAACATCCAGGGTAAATATTCTAGGGTGTCGGAATTTAAAGTTAATTTTTATATTGATCGAACGTAAAAGCATTTGTGAATCAACAAAACCGTGTATAATTTTGTGCAAATATACTAATAGTGGAGTGTTGAAGGCATAAAAATGGTCAAACCTTGGAGCCCAGGGCCAGTCAATGAATCTGTATATCAAGTATGAGACTGCATTATTAAGACCTCAAATAAAAAAGTAAAAAAAAAATTGACCGATCTCGATTTTTTTTTTTTATGTGAAAGGTGGCAAACGAGCCGACGGCCCACTTGATGGAAGGTGGTTACCGTCGCCCATAGACATCCGCAACATCTTTGTTACGGATGCGTTGCCAAACTTGTTTTTTAGGGATAGGGAGGGGCGGGAATAAGGAAATGGTAGGAAAGGGTGGGCATAGGGAAAGGGCAGCCGGCTCTCTCACTCATCGAACGAAACACAGCCATTAAAGGCTACTTCACGCCGATCTTCTGTGAGAGGGTGGTACTTCCCCGATCGATGACGTACCACCCTCTCACAGAAGATCGATTTATACAATTTTTAACAACAATTTACTGAAAAATGAGAGGAGGAAGGGGGAAAAGCGTTTATAGTGAAAAATTTAATATAATTTGTAATAAATTATATGTGCAGATTAACTACAATGATTTTAACTACAATGTTTATTTATTAGATTATCGTTAAAAATAAGTGACAAAAAATATATATCATTGTTACATCATTGTACATTATTGTCGTCGTCGCCGATCTCGTCGATATAGATTGTAGGTGAAGGATTAGTGCAGCTGTCACCATTGAATTCTAAGCAAGCTGCAGTGCAGTTTAATCCACTTTTCCTGCACCCACATGATGCTCCACATCCTGTTTAGCATGAGCAAAAAATATTTTTTAATAAAGATTCTGGAGCTGGTCGTAGCGTCATTGTTTGCGGTGTCAATATTCCCCATTCTTCTGTTAATATTTCCATGCCATGTTTGAACTTGCAAAAATACTCTTTTAAAGTGTTCAAATTCACCATCTGCAGTGGGTGGTAATGACGGCAGTTTAACGCAGGTATTTTTAGCAGTTGTTTTCAAAAAAGAGTTATATCTTATTATATTTTCTGAGAGTGTTTCTCGTATCATATCTATGAGCCTACTCTTATTTTTGGCATTCGATAAAAAAAAATTATGCGCTATTTTTCGAGGTATGGTTTTATTATTATGTCATTACACGCATTTTTAGAGCGACGTGTTCGTTCCATCGATTTTGTGCAGCTCTTCTTATAACCATCAAATACGACATAAATGTTGGGTCCATAATTGGTACGTAGATATCTGACATAATGTTGACAAATGGTACCGAAATTTTCATCTAATTGCCACCTTCATCGGTGTAATAACATTCCTCCATCAATTACGTACGAAAATTTTCGGACATCGTTCACATCCACTGATACTTCTGGAAATAGGTCATGAAACGTGGATTTTGTAGTTTTTCGTATTTCACCATCTTCAAAGAGAGCAAGAGGATAAGGAGCTTATTCATAAGTCATATAGTTTTTTAGTTCTTCATTCGATTTTTTTAACACGCATATACGTTGAAATAATAATAGGGGATCAATTGGAATAATATCATCATCCACTTTGCCATTATTTTTAGACCTTGCTCAAAAGCTGCGTAGCAATTCACTTTTTCTCGTCCAGTTATTCCAGTTGCGATAGACATAATGATACTAACATCTGGAAATGGAGAATATTGAATAAAATATTCTTCCAATTTTTTCCCTTTTGATTCGTGCATTGGTTGAACCAGCGTGTTGATAACTTTTTTTAAAAGATATATTACAAAATTCTTCTATCCCTTCCATTACATCTTTTGAAGAAATAACACCTTTTATCCATTTATACACGATACTGTCTGTTACACCACGTTTAAAAGGTCCTCCTTCAACACTCATCGATTTCATTAAAGTTTGTTCAATGGTTGGTGTGTGGAAATTCCAAAAAAAAAACATCGGAACGTCTAGCAGTAAAATAACCTTGTGTGAATTTTTGAATCGCTTCTGGGTTCATTTGGACAGATAATTCCTTCATGTCTTGCAAATCCTGATGCATGTCCTGATGCATGAAAGTATGGAATCATTCTCCCAATAGTCTGTAAATGCAGATTCCAATCACCAATACGTTCAGCTGAAATAAAATCTTTTAGCACTGATACCATTCGAAAATAGCTGATCCATAATCTGGACGTTTCATTTTTATTCTCTAAAATATGTAATTGTTTTTCGAAAATTTCATTTAAACTTTGAAATCCAATATTTTCTGTTATTTCGGTATGTTGCATGTTTCTCTATCTTTGTCACTTCTATTATCATCATATTGACAATACACTCTAAAGCACTTGCAACTAACAAATTGTCGTGAAGAACTCTAAGAGATATTTTATGGTCCTTCGAGCCGGATACGCGACACCCTCTATTCTCCAACCCGACCTTCATCAGTATATGTACGTACAGTCCCTAAAGATCCAAGATCAAGTTTTCAAGTTTGTAATAGTTGTTCTTTTTAAAATATGACTGACTAATATAAATCAATGAAAAAACCAAAAAATAATATAATATAAATCAATGAAAAAACAAAAAAAAAATTTTAAAATTGAGAGCGCGAAAAAATTCTTTTATCTTTTTTCTTTATACTATTAAAAACATGTTTTCAAGGTTTATATTAAGATTCATTGACTGGCCCTGGATTCCGAGGTATAAACCTTACGGCAGTCCACTATAAGCTATTGCAGTTGCGACGCATTTCTAGTGTTTGCAATTTAAAATGATTAAGTCTGTCATTGTAGCATTCGAGTTTACGTCCGTACTGATAGCGAGAACTGAGCAATCGTAAAAACCTTTTCTGTACAGCCTCTACCTTTTCACAGTGAGTGGCGTAGTTAGGTGACCATATGACCGAGTTATAATCTAAAATACTGCGAACCATACAACAGTAAAGATGTATAGTAGTTTTTGGGCTCTTAAAACTTTTAGTGCTCCTGCTTATGAATCCACATAATCTGTTTCCCTTGTTAATGATGTAGTCGTAATGGTCTATAATAGAGAGTTTTCCTCAAATATTACGCCTAGATCTTTTGCGGTGCATTTGCGTGAAAGGTTTTAAAATAGTTGTGGAGTGAATATATATAAAAATAGAGAATCGTGATGAAAAACGTTTATCGACCAAACTGGTCGACGAAAAGTGTCTGGGAGTGTTGACGAGTTATTTTTAAGTAGACATTTTAAAATATAGGTATTTGAAAATCAGCCATGAGAAGATACGTGAAATAAGTAATGTTTTATGTACCTTGATCACATGGTACCTGGAAATTTCTTTATGTTATTTCTTTAGGGGGGACAATACAGATTCAGAACCTTTTTAAGTTCTCCTGACAGTATCAAGGCCTGCTGAATAATATCATTCATAGATTTCGAGGGGGAGTCATATCTTAACTGACTGATTCCCTCTTTAGTCAAACCGTGGGATCCGTATCTGATGATTCTTTTAGGTAGTCCCGCAAACTTTGGAACCAAGGAAATACCCTCATTCAGCTCCTGATAGATTAATATCTCCTTTCTTCCAGTAGACCTGCCCCGTACAGATCTCGGTTTCCCCTCAGATCCAGATGAGGTTGACGTTCCGGCTGATGGTGAGAGATAATTATTGGTGACATTGAACTGAAATACACCGGATTCAGAGACTCTCCTCACTTCTACGTGACCAGGAACTGAGGTGTATTTTTGAATGGTAGACTCAATGATTCTCATGACTCTGTCTTCAAATGTTACATTCTGGAGAAAGGATATATCTACTTCAATCTTTCTGTCACTGAGGTCCTTAAAGTCTGTTCTCCGACGGGAGAGGATTTCCTTAACCCTCCCTTTCAATTCTCCTGACTCCCCTGCAAAATGAACTGCCCCTGCTGTCATATAGGACTCTTCTGTTTCACTCTCGTTCTGGGTTTCATCATCCAGAGACCGGGATTCTATATAAGGATCTCTTTCCTGTCGACGATTTTTTAATATCTCCTCAGTCTCAGAGTGTTCCTGGCAGAGCTTGTTCCAGTCATCTCCGACTTTCCCGGGGTTCAGAACTTTTCCTTCATCTTCTTCTTCTCCACTGGACTTCTCTTCCGCCGGAAATTCATCTTGGGCGCTCTTCAGATGAACCGGCAGATTATCATTCCAGTTGTCTCTCTTGGCCATCTCTTGTGCCTTAGAAAGATCCTGAATCTCCATCAGATTTTAGTTTTTTTAGTTTTTTTCAATTTAGATGTAGTGATGTTGTTGGCTGTTTGATAAAGCTAGCAAGTAGGCATACGATCATAGCACATACTGACGCTACTCAATCGTCCAAATTTCATCGGTCAGAAATACGTGACGTCTGGTAGCCCTGGAATTTCGCTCTAACGCTAGAAATTTAAAAATGGAAATGATACTCACAAATGATATCATAGAAGTTAAAAATAATGTCTCTGACAAATCGCACTTTTGGGAAAGACGTTATTTTAATTTTCGTGATTCTTATTCCAGACTTCTGTTTAAACTCTTCATGATCTCTATAATATAAGTCCAGTTCGCAAGTATTAAGGCAACCGCAATCCTTTGATGTAGTCGGTAAATCTTTGTGATAATTAAATTTTTTCAATGTTTCTTTTAATGTTGATAATTTTACTATTTCTTTTCTGTGATTCAAAACACACTGTAGCTCATTGATGTAACAAATGCGCTCATGATCTGTAAAATAGTAGTATGTATACCTACTATAGAACGGTAATTCATTACTTTCTGAATAGAATAAAGATCAGACACGAAATGAAAACTCAAACGTTTGAATAGAAATTTTCACCTAATGTTCTGTAGAAATGAGGGACGCAACCGCATAATCTTTGAATCATTTTAATCCTGCATTCCATTATGCAATGGCTGTGTGAATAAATTGGATATCGCTTACTGATAGGCTCATTAGTGAATCTGAAATTAATTAATAATGAATAGTATCGTACAAATTATTCTGTTATGTATATTTTAGTTAAGAATATTAGAAAAAATATCATAATTATTAATAACGACTTGTATTATGAATATAATAAATTGTTTGCCATTAAATATTGTCCTTGTTATTCATAATTTTAATACGTCACTAGAAATATGAATGTAATGATAATACGTTAATATAACAATACGTTATTGCGAAGCTTGTATGTAATATCCAATATTATAAAAGAAACATTTCGTTTAGTTTCCTAATATATGTCGAATATTAATAAATACAACAAGATACTACAAAAGGAATGGAAAAGGTGAAAGTAATAATTGGCTATTAAAAAGATTAATTTGAGTTCGAAGAAATTGCTGATAACTTAAATTAAAGTGATAACTGTAATGGCCAATAAACACAATTATAATTCTGAGATTATGAAAAAAGTTATTGTCATTACGCCAGTTTTGATTTTGAATGAAAAATCTGGAGAACCTCCGTATCCTCCTCCGTAGTGTGACTTGTTAGATTCTAACCTGCACTTTCGCAATTGTAGCGATGTATATCGAAGTTCATCTGAAATTCTCGTGGTCTGTACTGATAAACCAAACGACATAGCTCCCTCCACATCAAAAAGGAATGATGAAGTTGTAGTCATAGCAATCTCGTCAGGACTATGAATGAAAATCTACACAGAAACATTTAGGGAATAAATACTTATTATAAAAGTCCTTATTTTAAAGTAAATTTACTTTTAATTTAAAATTTAATATAATATTTTAATATACTTGGGTAAACAATAAAATACGGAAGTAATATCTGTAGGGATATACATATATATACGTATGTATATTATATATTATATATATATATATATATATATATATATATATATATATATATATATAGATCCATGCACATAACGAAGCTTGGAAAGTCTGTAGACATACTCATATAAAAATTATTTCACCTTATAAATATCTTCATAGTTGATAAACACGGTAAAAAAGTCGATATCGTATGACGATAGATCAATGTTTTTTTTTACATATTCTGGAAATGGCGCATTCTTGTTTCTAGAACATAAAAAATATCTATGTCAAAAAATATCTATTTAAAAAATAAAGTATTTTCTTTTATCTACGATACTAAGAAGGAAAGAAAAGACTTATTACTATACTATTATACTATCAAATAGCTTCAAATATTTAAATTGAACTTTATTTTGTTTTTCATTAAATAAAATAAAATGTTATCATCAGTGGAAATTAAAAGAATTCTCCTTTCTGTAAAATCTAGTCCGATGGAGAAATTCTTAAAATAAACAGATTAATCCTTTCAGTAATCTTAATTAAGAGAAAATAATGCTTACCGAGGCATATCGTAAACTGCAACGTTGGAATTAATCACATAACACATTCCCATTTCAGTCATTGCTGGTTCGTTGGAGAGCAACCACTTGTTATTGGTGGTGAACAAATTGTTATCGAATTTCTTAAACATTGTAGCCGCTATTGTCGCGTAATCTTTTGGATCAACTAGCTGTTTGAATGAACATAAATATTGAAAAATTAAAATTCGATTTAGTAGATATTATAGTCGATTATCACAATTTTATCCTTTTAACAACTTACAAGTTTAATATCTTCAGACACAGCCAAATCCATATGCTCTAAATTATCTAAAGAAGAAGTTGTTATGGCCCAAAAGTAGCCAAATGCTTGGAACCCCGTTGCTTTGTAAGTCTCACTTTGAAAAATTATAAAATAAAAAAATATTTATAAACCCTAATATAAAGAACATTTTTCACTTTGTTATTTTATTTAACATTTAATATAAATAGTTATCGGTCAATCCTTATCTTTGGAAGACGCAATGGAAGGGGGGGGGGGAGGTTCCTAATAAAAGTACGTTCAACTCGTCCGCTTCTCAAATTCATTAACGTTAGGAGTTCCCTAAGGTTTTTCTTTCTTGCGTGTCGAGGCATTTTGAAAGTTCTTGATTGATTCAATACACACTATTCAAGCAAATATCCATGTAAGAAAGCAGATTAAGATTTGTATTAAGAGTTTGAGCCCTCCTCTATAGGAAACTAACTACTAGGCGTCAATTTCAATCAAGAAAAGGGGCTGTATGTATTTTTGTATATTACAGTACTGAAAACTAATCAAGGTTCAAAAGACATGCAAACTGATTATTATTACCTAAGCTGTTTATTTATAATATCCTCTATTGTTCACATCATAACATGGAATAATAAAAAAAAGACGATAATTACAATTGAAACAAATAATAAGTTTAACAAAGACCTAAGGTCCTATCGGATATAGGCAATAGCTGTAAGATTAGTGATGTAAAACGTAGGATGTAAAATATAGGCTTGAGTGGAACTATTACCAAAAATAAATAAGTAACTCACAAATAATAAAAATACATAATTATTATTCATCCATCCTTAAAATCAAATCATATTCAAATAAAATTAATAACAAATATGAATGTATTATACGTGGGTGTATTATATTTGCTTCGTGATTTAAACATTGAACGTACTTTTTATGCCTTTTCGACAGCCCTGTTTGAATGGATTTAATATAATCAAAATCTTTATTAATATGTCTGCTTGTTGTTCTGATGTATGATAAATACCTACATAAATGATTGAAAATCTTTCAAATCAATACCTACAACGTTTTTTGTGAATTTGGAGGTATCTTATGTTATTAATTAAATAAATAACGTTAACCGAGGAAGCAATGTTTTGTTACTAAAACGTGATGATGACCTTTTAATTCTTAAGTTATTCGTATCTTTATTTTCAGGGTTGATAATTTTTGAAACCTAACATATATATTTACTTCGATTAACACCATTGAAATATATCTTATGTTATTAATTAAATAAATAACGTTAACCGAGGAAGCAATGTTTGGTTACTAAAACGTGATGATGATCTTTTAATTCTTAAGTTATTCGTATCTTTACCCTGGAAAACAGGGTTGATAATTTTTGAAACATAACATATATATTTACTTCGACTAACACCATTGAAATATTAAGACCATGTGATAAAAATAAAGGTACATACATTTCACTGTCTATTAAAGGTTTTAAAGTGGAAGGAGGTGAGTTATAAGGGCAAAAACGTGTTATTTCAATTCGGGACAAACTACAAGACCTAAAATAAAAAGTTAAATGGCAAAGTTGCAGGTAAAACGAAGGTATCAAACTTTTGTATTTACACTTTTTCCACATAAAATCAAAATTTATCTATAAAATTCAAATAACCACTGCAATGAGTATGTGTTTCTAATAATTATATGTATATTATCAGAAACTTTCTTTCAGTAAATGTAGAAAAAAGTGCTTTTTTATGTTTCGAATACACTACAACGTAACCTTTCGATTTAAAATATTAATTTTCTCATCTCATTATGTCTCTGTATCTTAATTTCCAATTCTAATACAAAAAATCTAACACCAAAGTATGTATGTGTTTTTCAAACAGTGCTTGGGCTTTTTGTTAGTGGACACTGGCGCTACAAATTTTTTTAGCATACTATTATTTTATATTCTGAGAAAATTTACCACAGTAATGTTTTAAAAATATATATCAAATAAATTATTAAACCCACGGGCTTTTAAAAAACTGATAATTTGACACGAGAATTTTTGAAGAGAAAATCTTAACTTTTCAAGCGTAAAATTTACGGTATCGGATATACTGTCATTTTAGACAATATGTAAATTAAAAACCAAGAACATAACATAATTATTTGAATTTTAAGAAAAATTTTGAGTGTATATGAAAAAAGAATGGAAACAAAATTTTAAATCTCGGCTTTATCCACAAGTTCGCCGTTTAACTTTGTTTTACAGGAGTTGTAGTTTGGCTGAAAATCGAGATAAAATGTTTTTGCCTTCAAAACTCCCCCTGTCCACTCGGCCTCCGATCGCCCGTAAATATTTTTTTCTTTTAATTATCTCATTTTCAACGGGTTTCAGCCTACTATTCCTAATATTTTTTTTTATTTCAAAATTTACAAAGTCTATTACTTGCTGCAATGAATTATTAGAAATTGCATTCAGAGAATAAATTATGTGCATTTTTAAGTAATCCTCTCTGTCCAATATGTAAAATTATGTACCTTTTTGGGATAATCGTCGACTCAGAACTCTGTCTTTATGATCCATGAATCTATTATTTTACTGAAATAAGTATTTGAGGAATGTTACTGTTTGTAACATCTATGAAGTT